TGAGAGAAGGCTTTCCAAGACCTCTGCAGACTGTTTGTGGTATTCTAGGAGCCTCGGCTAACGCTTGAAGCTGTAACACCTGCTCAACCTGTTAAAGAAAACAAGGTGCATTTTCAAGGATTGCATTAAAACAATTAAATTACATGGCCATTTAAAGAATATCTTACACAATAGAAATAAATAGAAACCGTCAATCTCTTCACCCATACAATATCGGTATAAATTATTCTTCCATGGTTGAACTGAGAGAAATATCAAAATAAATGTGCAGAAATATAAAGTGAAAACTTGTTCTTGAGACTCAATGAGTGGTATCTGATTGAGTAGTAAGATGCTCTAGTGCATCTTGGCTCATCTTTGCTCCGATTTGTCAGGTACTTACATCACTCTCAAGGAGGTTCCTCATCCCGTTCTCAGCAAGCTCCTGAGATTCGTGAAACTTCTCTTCTGCAAATTGGATTTCTTCTTCAGGAATTGTGCTTCCTGCAACACAAACAAAAACAAGATTGATGAGAACAAAAGTCAGAAATATTGGCTCAGAATTATCCAAGATGCCAGTATTTTCCTGGTGTGGAAATGTAGTATAATTCCTGCATCATGCAAGCATGCATTAACCCTAACAGAACTCAACCCATCAAACCCCAACGGCATGTTTAGTGGGAATCTGTCAGGATGGGTACAGTACCCTTAAACTGACAGTCTTTTACATTGGGTTGGCACACCTCCAGAATCAAAGATAGAAATATGTGTCAGCAGTTTCCCCATATGGTGTTGGAATTTGCCAGGATGGGTATGGTTCCTGGTACATCATGCTAGGGAGTTAGAGTTAATCCGTCACCATGTACACAATGAGTCATAAAGAAAGTGACCAAATTAGAACATATTTCAAAAAATATGTGGCTCGCTCTGTTTAATAAAAATAGGGGTAAAGTACTTGTTATTGACTAGTAACTGTGAAAATTTCACGTAATTTGCATACTCTATTCCCAAGTAATGAATATTTTGATACAATGATCCAACATTCAGTTGTCCACCACTGATCATTTATCATTCTGCAAACAAATAAATACCCATTAAATACCATGAAACATAAATGTTTTCCCACCTCCATGAATGAATGGAAAAACGGACAAAAAATCGCCATCAATATTTCAGAAAAAAGAGTGGACTTGTTCCTCGTAATCGAAACACAAAATCTGACAGTAAAATACTGTTTCAGTCTTGACTCAAATGATTGAAATCTCATTTGTATTTGAATGCCTGTGTGTAATCTGTAATTCTCACTCAGCTCAATAGCTTCCAATGGCATTCCATGGAGCTACATTTTGTATACTTCATTCGTCTATTAAATTTGATTGCTTTTTAAGATTTTTTTATTAATCCAGGTTTTTTTTTCAAAATGGCGGGCGGAAGTGATTCAACAAAACTGCTTCACGAACGAACAAATCATACACAAACATTTCTTCCATGAAATGCTGTTATTATCCTCGTCCAAGATGTTTAGATTGTTTAAAACGTGGCCCATGAACGCCAACTTTTGTGAAATCGATCGTAAGTTCATTGCGTGGCCGCGCAATAAGTTTGTTGCGTGTAAGTCCTACGCATGGCGTAAGTTACGCACTGTTTTGTGAAATCAGCTGCATAACAAAGTTCGTACTTATTACAACTCACACATATTTAACACTTAGACATTCTCAATTTCATCCTCGGAAAAGTCACTTATCTACACTTTTCCAAGTTTGAGTCCACGCAAAAAAATTTGGGTCAATTTTTTTCATCAATGCAATTGAATATTGACCAACAAAATGCAAAAACAGGCTCATTAATATGTATGAGATGTAATGAATATTCATGATACCTCCATTATACAAATTCATGTTATTTCTGACAGAATCAGCTACAACCAACATTAACTCTTTGCCAGTAATTGTCCTTCTTTAGTAGACAATAATTTACAACAGTTACAAATTACATTCTAAAACTTGTAACACAATATGTCTTTTGATGTTAAAACTAAAAGCACTCTTAAAGTTTACCATTTTGGGGTCAATCTGATCATCTTCCAAAGCAATTTTCTTTTCTTTTTGAATATTGTTTAGGTTTTATTGATAATATAAATTGTCGTATTCATCACCCAGTAAAACAGACATTTTTGGTCTTTGGACTGTTGCTTGATTTGGATGTGCTTAAAATAAACTGAAAAAAAATGAAATGAAAACGGAATGATAATCTCCAATCAAGAAAACATAGCAGCAGGCTTAAACATGCAGGCAAAGTGAAAATGCTGGCTACGTTTGTTCTATGACATGCTGTTAGTGTTCCAAGCATGATGTTTAAAAACAAAACATGCAAGTTTCATGAGGACGTTCCTGTGAAATGCAAAACAAAATAAAGGAAGTAACATGCACAAGCTAGCATCAAAACCAAAACAAAACCAAAACTGCAAAATGACAAAGTGAACTCTAATCCAGTTTTGATTTTCAAAAAAAATGACTACCGAGCTTTAGAAATCTGGGATAATATATTTCAAAATAGCGGTGTTTGGTATAGCAAGTTCCACTGTATATGAGAATGTAATTTCCAGTAACCCTGCTTAACCCTTCTGTTAGTGAGCATTAGCCATGTCTGAATGACATGGCTACGACTAGCACTAGCCCACATGGGAAGTGGCTTCATCTGCTTCCATAGGTGCAACTAATGTATTAGCCGTAGCCACTTCATTCTGACGTGGCTTTACACTTTTTCCTTTTCCCTTCATTTTCGACTCTGCACCCACGGCGAAATCTACAAATATATAGCACTACTGCCTACTCTATAGCCCAGACTGCTGGCCAAATTTGATACCGCTTTAGGCCGACAATCCATGTGTCCGTTTTTGATGTGCGTATTGCATTTTTGCATACCAGTTGCGTATCTGCGATGCGTACTCTGAAAATCCACGAGTACGTATTTCTCGGCACACTTGACCGACGTACAAGCTCATATTCCCACAATGACTGGTCTTAACGCAGCAGGGATAGCGCAATGCGCAATACAGGTACATGGACCTATGTATGTATGCACATTGCTTATCAAACAACTGATTTTTACACATCAGGCAGTGCGCACTACGCATGACGGACACACAGATTTTTGGCCTTATACTGTATTTTCTGAATCCTCAATCAATTCTGATCTATTTCACCACAATATTTTCTACGAAATGCTACGCTACAAAATCGGTGTTGACATACCACCTGCTGCTGAGAGGAACCGACGAAAACGTTTTTACGGGTACATGGAAAGTAAAAATAGAAACATGATGTCATCATAGGATTATAGACCAATGGGCTCTTCGCACAAGCACCCCCTCAACGGTAGGAAAGGGAGAGTTGGGGTCGGGGAGACGACTGGGAGAGACATTTGAACGCATTGCCAATGACGCCTGACGTCACAGGAAGACGCTATGGCTTTGTGCATATTCGGAATGAAAGAAGTCAGGGTACCATGCGCTATACGTAGTGTGCCCCATCCACTGGACTATCGAAAGTGATCAAGTAGCTCCCTCTCCTGTTTGCGCATGGAGACCATTAATCTAAACAGCAGTTGGATTCCTTTGTATTCAGTTTGGTCGTTTTTTTATCCCGGAGGCTGTCTAGACCAATCCTGAAGGGGTAGACGTTTATTAGGGACATGTAACTGATTAACTAACTAAAACACACTTTTATAAGATGGAATTTTGCGTCGGGGTGATATAAATCAAATTAGGTTTTGCCCTTCACTGACGTTTAAACACTGTATACTCAGTGTGTTACCCACTGAGTATACAGTGTTTAAACGTCGTTGAAGGGCAATTAACCTAATTTGATTTAAAACACACACTAGAACGTCATGATAGTACGATACACGTACAGGCTTTCAAGCAGACCCAGGTGAAAAAGTAGGAGAAAGTACTTAGATCAAAATTTACAAAAACCAACAGGACAAAAGTCGGACTTTGGAGGACAAAATCAGGATAAAAGTAGGACTGTTGTGGCTTTCTGGGGTAGTTTTCATGATGCTCGCCCACGTCCACAGCATCATAAGCCTCATTTGGCATGTTCTGTACTCACAACACTTGTGCTCCATCCTCAACTAAGCTCTTGGAAGTACAGTTGCAGTACTCCTGCGCCCAAGCCCTTCATTGTGTGATTTGACAGTGTGTAACACTGCCATGAAAGTTTTCAATGAGATTAAATTTCTTCGGAGTTGTGGGACAAAAAAATAGGAAAAAGTAGGAATTTCAAGAAAAAGTAGGAAAAATTGGAGCACGGTAAAAAAAATATCTAGGAAAAGTAGGAGTACTGAAAAGCCTGCACGTACATGTGGACTGAGGTTAATCTATTACATGGACATTTATCACAGTTGTAAATCTTAAAGCTATAGTCCATCATTTGCAGCCATCCGAAAAGTAACTGGCGTAATTATTTGAAAAACATACTTGGTTGAAAGATAGTAAGGGAACTAAACTCCCTGTGAAATTATTCTTTCTGGGAAGCTGTCATTTTGAAGTAATCAACGAAAGAAGGCATTTCCAACGGTGATTCTTAAGAAGCACCGTAGGAAAATTTACATTAGGAGTTCGTTTTGTTATTCAGCGCAGCGCCCACAAGTATTGGAACGACGCACACACCGCCGCGGTTGTTATAATTCGTTGGATCAGTGCGCGATGTCGCGTATAGCTGCAATTCAAAACAATTCAACACATGATTCAGTAACTTTTGATTTGAAATTGAGGTCTTAGAATGCTGTTTTTCTCGGAATGTACAGCTGAAGCTTAGCTGAAACTTCATCAGGTTAGTTGCTCAGTATCCTTCATTAGATTTTGAACTCTTTTGTTGCTACAAACGAACAAAATGCACAAATTACAAATGATGGACTGTAGCTTTAAGCATCTAGCATTCTACATACACACATTCACAATATTTTTTGTAGGGAAAGTACAAGGTAATATTGTGCATTAACAAAGGTCAACAACACTATCTATTCTCATTTTTGAAACTCACAGACAATTTCGCTTATTGTTAGTTCAAACTTGTAGTGAGCTATGGGTGTACACTATGGGTGCTAAGCACAATAAGGGACCATTCATGACGAGTCTAGGAACTAGACTTGACATACCGACCAAACCTGCTAATGCTGATGAGTATGTAGATGATGCACAGTGAAAAATGAAAGTAAAACATTAATACAGTGAGGTGGAAAAAAAAAATGATGTTGAAATCAAAGGTGTGGACAATTCCTTCATAGCGACGTCAATTTACAGGATTTAATGATTAAAACTCTTCTATTAGAGACAGTTAGGCCTATCGATCAAAGTAACAAAGTTCAGTTCCCGATGATAATATCCACTTTTGGAAACAATATTTGGCAGATCATATTTGGCCGCTGAGTGAATATGGTTGACACAAAGTTCAAACTTTTTCTCGACTGTCCAAACTAAGTCCTCAAAAAATCTAAACCACAATTAAAGGCTTGCAAGGAACACTATTTTCAATGCAATTTTTGTTTTTCTTTTAGTGCAAACAAATATTATACGCATTATACAGTATGTCCAAAAGAAATGTCCGTCTGACTATTTTTGAAATAACTACAAAACCATGAAGTCCAATTTGAAAAAGTTTGATTGTGCAGATACTCCCTATCTTGGCCTCAACCCCGATGAGTTTCATTTAATTTCAGTCACGCATCACTGCACACTTGTCAATTGATCACAACAACATTTTGGGACACTGTGACCAAGTTCCTTGCCTTAATGAATTTCAGTGCTGTGTTAAGTAAGCTGTGTAAAATCCTGCATGTTGTGAAAAGGGCTGCAATTGGGATTGGAATCATTTGCCTGGCTATCAGTCATCATGGCAAGACCTCGGTTTAATGCTCAAGGGCAAATGATTCCAATCCCAAACCACATCAGACTTTTTTTCACAGACACTTTTTTGGGACATACTCTATGACAATAATGATAAATTTAGTGTCAGGTTAACAATAACACTTTGGAAGTCTGATGGTTTATTTTTGTTTTAGTTATGATATTTTAGTAATGTAAGATGATTTGATATGATGGAGTTGAGATAATCTGTCACCTACCTTTTGCTTGCTTCTTCTTTTTGTAGTCAAAGTCAAGACGTCGCCCCTGTAACTTCTTCCGATGGTGCTGAAAAAAAAAAACATTGGGAGACAAATAAAACTTATTGTTTGACAAGAGACATTTGCACATTGCTGTAAGGCACCTTATATAAATTATGGGTCAAAGTGTGACAATTTTCGAGTTCCTGTTATCTCTGAGCATTGTCATTTGCTGTTCAAGTATCATTAAGAATGCCACAATTTGTTGGGTAGGTTGTCTGCTTCACATAATCACTCTTGGCGGACGACTGCATTAACCCTAACCTTCCCAAATCCTCCCAAATCCTCTTTGCAAAATGGAGGATTTTTGCAGGATTGAGGCTGTTTAATTGGCAAAAATGTGGTGGCTGATTTTGCAGGATGCAGTGTGTCAAGGTCTTGGGCCGGGCCTTGTGTTTGTTTATGCTCAGCTGTGCATAAATTATACTTGAAGTCCTCCGCACTGCTCCAGGATGTCACTGGCTCTGCCTCAACATATTGACAGTGATTGCTGGAGGATTTTGTAGGATTGAGGCAGTGATCATTCTTCCACGGATCACATTCAAGAAATAATGGAGGATTTTGCAGGATTGAGGCTGCATGCAATTTTGACATGGAGGCAGTTGGAGGATTTTGCAGCATCATCGCAAAAATGCCCAGGGAGTTAGGGTTAAGAATGACTTTAAACAATTTTGTATTCGTTGTGTAGGTAGTTTGCTATTCATAATCATCCTTGGAGGAAGACTGCATTAAGGAGTGCATCAGAATTATAAAATCACAGATGTCAGATGTAACGGGGACAGGAAAAAAGTGGACCCCAAATTTATCGAATGACAAAAAGTACACAGGCATAAGTTACAACCCAAATCAACCAGTAATCGATCACTGGTCTTGTATCATTTTTTTTCCAGATTGGCCACAATTTGTGCTTGAATTTCCCCGCAGGTGGCTGTGCAACACAGTCCTGCTTCTACCAAAATCAACCAAATTCTGTCAGATTCTGTAAGATGGAACTCACGTTGATCTCTTCAGATCTTTGTTCTTGAGATGATCCAGGGGATCCAGGAAGTTCTGTCTGACGTTCAGATCGAAGGCGTCCTTGACTTCAGAAAGTTGCCTCAGTGATTCTCCCATCTCGACCATCGCCGTACCTGTATCCAAAAAATAACCAAAAAATTTTTTTTTTTTATTGATACCTATAAAAAACAACATTTTATTGTTCTGTTGTTTCCACCAAAACTAAACAGCTGTGCTAAGTATACCCTGGGAGCTGAGATTGTCTATGAAATGCATGGTCTATGAAATGCATTATTAGACAGAGTAAAAAAAAAAACGGTTTCCCGTCTGCTTTTTTTTCCCTCCACCATGAGGTGAGGTATATGTTTTCATCGGCCTTGGTTTGTCTGTGAACAGGATAACTCAGGATAAATGCGGAGGCACTAGGCTCACGTGAATCGCGCACTCCGGACTCCTTCGACCAAAACATTTGTGAGCCTCGTCTTTAAGAACGCGTGCACGTAGTCGTGCCACGACCTCAAAAATGGCTTTAATTTTGTTCGCCGGATTACGCTATATGAGAATGTAATTTCCAGTAACCCTGGTTAACCCTTCTGTTAGTGAGCATTAGCCATGTCTGAATGACATGGCTACGACTAACACTAGCCCACATGGGAAGTGGCTTCATCTGCTTCCATAGGTGCAACTAATGTATTAGCCGTAGCCACTTCATTCTGACGTGGCTTTATGCTTTTCCATTTTCCCTAATTTGTGCTTGAATTTCCCCGAACGTGGCTGTGCAACACAGTCCTGATTCTATCAGAATCAGTCAGATAATGGGTGATGTTAGATTTTGTAAGATGGAACTCACGTTGATCTCCTTCAGATCTTTGTTCTTGAGATGATCCAGGGGATCCAGGAAGTTCTGTCTGACGTTCAGATCGAAGGCGTCCTTGACTTCAGAAAGTTGCCTCAGTGATTCTTCCATCTCGACCATCGCCGTACCTGTATCCAAACAAAAACAAAAACATAACAACAATCCATCTTTTTATAATACCTATAACAGGAAAGGTTTATTGTCCTGTTGTTTCCATCAAAAATGAGAAGAGTTGGGCTAGGTCAAAAAGTAAGTGTTCTTTCAGCAAAACGAAAACAATCTCAAAGGGATGCATGTGAATTGTTTTCGTTTTGCTTAAATAACACGTACATCTCTTGTGATCCATGGACAGAACTTTAAAATGGTGTTTGTGTTCAAAATTCTGTAACTTGAAAAGCAAATGAGTGATGTGAATGATTCTTGTGCTAAAACAAAGCCATTGATTGGGCTCATGATCATAACCTAGATTTGGAAAGTGCTACAGGCAAAACTTCATTCAAAAATTGGTCCTGCCATTTGAGTTTTCGTCTTTTTTTGACTCACCTGTATATTGCAAATGCATGCATTTATAAATAAAAAAAAATTAAAAAAATACAAAGTGGGTGCAAAAAAGGCAGCGGGAAGGTACGAGAAACTGGTTTATTTCTTTACTTGGCCTTGCATATATGAAGTGCTGGGCCCTACATAAATTACACAATACTCATGGATGATGGTACTATGTTGGTGGATTGGAACACTGATTAGAGCACCTTTTTGAGAGCTTTTTGATCAGTCTACCACAGAAGGAAAGAGAATACATCTTGAAGCTTGCTCACCAAACATGAATCTTCTCCTAATTCTCTGCCGTTCTTCAGCATGACTTCTCCCAGGAATCCTACGGGTTGTTGAGGCTTGGTTCCTCCCTTCTGACCACGGACTTTCTCATGGCTCTGGAGACTGTTCAGGAAAGACAATACGATTGATTAGGGTCAGCACACAAATAGAAGATCTATCTCTATTTGGTTTGTTTGAAGTGAATACTTAGACCCGAATTCAAACCGGTGTTCTATAGTCACCCCAAATGAAATTATTCCAAAGGTTACAATTAAAGGTAATATACGACATTTGCAAACATCAACAAACAAAACTACCAAATTATTATGAAATACTTTACTTGACTGTAGGTGAATGACAGTCTCAGACATCCTGTGAAATCATGGCACCTGGTGTGCTGTCATTTTTAAGAAAAGTGGAATTTTTGTATTGATTTCAAAAGATGGTCGGCCGACCATCGTAGGAAGAAACTGATTTGTCCAAATAGTGCCCCAATTTACCCAATTTATTTAGTCCACATTTTTTTTGCAAGCGGTTACACATCCGTGAATGGATGCAAGCCAGCTAGTCTGGTTCCCTGAGCTCAGGGAACAACACAAGATCCGGCCCAAGACCTTGACACAGTGCATCCTCATAAATCAGGCACACATTTTTGCCATATAGCCTCAATCCTGCAAAAGCCTACATTTTGCAAATAGGATTTTGGAGGATTTGGGAAGGTTAGCGTCAATGATGTTTCAATTTTGGTTCTTACCTGGATTGGGCTGAAGGTATTCTATTGTCTTGTTCACCAAATCATCCACTGTGTGACCTGCCACGTCAATTTTCTAATGAAAAAAAAAATACATTACCCAAAGACAATGAGAAGAATTCAATAAGCATAAATAATCTCAAGCAATATTTACTAATACTAAATGTGTTAAAACTTTTTTCGCTATGGCAGGAGAGATTCATACCCTGGACTCCGTTGCGTGTACACAACAGAGTCCAACCTGGGCTAGGACTAGGGCTAAGTTACACTTACAACAGACAGGGCTCTGGAGTGCTCTGAAACGTGCAAAACAAAACGGGCAAAGAAAATGTCCTCAGTATTTCACCAACCAAGTTTGGAGAATCAATTCAATTTTTAAAGGAGATTTTTCTTCAATAATTTGCACATAAGAGGGAAGTCAAGTGATTTCAAAATGGGACTAAATACTAGACTGGTACATGTCCAACCATCATGACCATATGGTCCAACTATTTGAAAAGACTGACCTCTTCATTCAGTGTCAATAGTCTGGTGGCTTGACTACGGAGAAATGTGTAGTAAATTGAGACTAGTTCCCGCTTCATGCCACATGTTTCTTTAATTCTTTTGGCATGGTTGATTGATGCAGTACTGAAGCTGTGTTGGACTGGTTGTTTCAGGTGCCAGTCTTTTTTCTTGCTTTGCATGTTTTCAATACCATAAGTTTTGGGACTCTCATACACAGTATTGAGAGTCCCAAATTTTCGGACTACACTACACTTACAGTAGTCCGAGTGACTTGGACCCAACTTATCGTCTTTTTAACACTCAGATTTCACCCTCAAAATGGCCTCCCAATTACTAGATATGCCACCTGAGGTACAAATAGACATCGATGATTAAGATGGTTGTACTGAAGTTTACTTACAATCCGGAAGAAAAGTGAAATTTCCCGTTCAATTCTGAGAGCTCCCCTCGCAATCATGAAAACGTTAAATTTCCGACTCGTGTTAATGTTTGAACGACGTGATGTAGTCTTCATGCCCAGCGTACAATCAATGGTCCCCATATCCCGAGTGCGATTCCGTTACCGAGCGCGAAGCATCGATTATGATAATGAGTAGACTGGATCTCGCTTGTGAACACAAGTGGATTTCAAACGGTAAAAGACAATCGGGAACTAGCTTGAACTGGTTTCCGCCCATAAAAGCTGTCCTAGTTCCCGACTCTCTATTATCGTTCGAAATGTACTTGTGTTTACAAACGAGATCCAGTCTACTCATTATCATAATCGATGCATTGCACTCGGTAACTGAATCGCACTCGGGATATGGGGACCATCGAATGTACAATGTACGCTGGGCATGAAGACCACATCACATCGTTCAAACATTAACATGGGTCGGAAATTGAACGTGTTCACGATCGCAAGGGGAGCTCCGGGATTGAATGGGAAATTTCACTTTTCTTCCAGATCGTAAGTAAACTTCAGTACAACCATCTTAATTATTGATGTCTACTTGAACCTCAGGTGGCGTATCTAGTAATTTGGAGGCCGTTTTGAGGGTTAACCACTATAATCTGATGTTTTTGTTGGGCAATGTTGGGTTTTTGGGTCAAAAGAC